CATGCCTGCTAAGTCCAGGCTAGGGAGGTTCAAGATCGCATTCAGCGCTTCATTCGGGGTGGTTCGAAGGGCTCCACTAATACACAAAGCCGCCATTCGCTGTACTTTGTTTAGAGGAGTCAGTATGCATTGTTTGTGTAAGGCGGTCCACCACAGAGCCACTCTGTACAGTAGGATTGGCTTGACTACCGCTGTGTATATCCAGTTAACTATTCTTGGGGACATGCCCCATCTTAGCCCGATTGCGTTTTTACAGGAGTAAAGTACAATGGTCGCTTTTTTGGTTCTCTCTTGGTTGTTTAAGCCCCATTTGAGGCGTTTATCTAGTACTAACCCCAAGTACCTGGGGTGATCGCTAAAGGCTCGCCTTTACAATTGTTTAAAATGGGTGGGTTAAGTTGTGGAATTTTGTACCTATTTGTAAATAGAACAAGTTCTGTTTTCGAGGGATTTACCCCGAGTCCGTTCGCTATCGTCCATTCCGATAGTATTTTAAGTTTAGCGGTCATAAGATCGCAAAGTTTTTGTGGATATTTTCCATTAAAGATGATGGCGACGTCGTCTGAGTATGCCACGACCTTACAACCTCCTCCCTCCAGAATCCGCAGTAGTTTATTTACTGCGATATTCCACAAGAGGGGTGATAGTACACCTCCTTGCGGGGTGCCTCTGTTCACTAGTCAAGTCTGGGTTGAGGTCCCTAGTGTGGCTGTGACCATTCTGCTTATCAGCAATTTATGGATTAGCCTCGCCATTGGCGGCTCAACCCCTAGTTCTGTGAGAGATTCTGTTATAGCGGTGGGAAGCACGTTATTGAAGGCTCCCTCTATATCCAGGAAGGCGATCAGTGTGTATTCCTTGATGTTGAGTGATTTCTCGATGCTGTTTACCACCAAGTGTAGCGCCGATTCGGTTGACTTACCTTTGGTGTAAGCGTGTTGTGCTTCTGATATTTGCGTCGGGTCTACGGTGGCCCTTATGTGTTGGCTTATCATTCTTTCAAAGCTCTTAAGCAGGAATGATGTTAGGCTTATTGGCCTAAAATCTTTTGCTGTGGTGTGAGTGGCCTTCCCTGCCTTGGGAATGAAAACCACCTTTGTTTCTTGCCATGCTGTTGGTAGTTCTCCTACCGTCAGGATGGATTGGAAGATTTTTTTCAACCAGTTTATGGCTATTTGTCCTGCTTGCTGGATGTGATCCCGTCCGGTCCCGGCGATTTGTATGGTTTGAAACTATGAATGGACCATTTCATGTTGCGGTCTGATAGGAGTGGATCTATTTCGATTCCCTCTCCTGTTCCTCTTTCAGGTGGATGACCTGCTTGTTGGCTCCCCGGAAAGTGAGCGTCTAGGAGCAGGTCCAAAGACTCTTTACTGGAGTCTGACCATGATCCATCTGCTTTTTGAAGAAAGCCCAAAGGCGCGGCTGTCTTAGAGAGTATTTTCCTGAGCCTTGCGGCATCAGTTGCTTTTTCTATGTGAGAGCAGAAGGTCTGCCATGCCGTTCGTTTTGCTCTTCAAATGGCCTTTTTGTAAGAGCCTAGTTCAAACTTGTAGTTCAGCCAATTGGTGTCCTCATTTCCCGCTTTTGCTCTGTTAAACAGGCATCTGCAGTTGGTTCTGAGGATAGATAGTTGTTGGGTCCACCAGGGGGGTTTTTTCCTTCCTCTTGGTTTCTCTGTGGGGCATGCCACTTTGAAGGCAGTGTTGCATGCCTCTGTGAACTTGTATACTGTTTCGTCCAGCTCATGTGGGTTTGTGATGCTTTCTGACGGTTCCATGGGGAGGATATTTGTCAGAACTTCTTTGTACCTGTGCCAGTCCGCTCGTCTGGGGTTGGCGAAGCTGACCGGCAAGGGCGAATGAAGGGACAATACGGTTTCTATGAATCTATGGTCCGAAAAGGAGTGCTCGTCAGAGACTGCCCAGTTTTTGACTGCGCCTACGAGTGAATCTGGCAAGCTTTAGTTATGAAAGTAGGGGCATTGCCCCTATTGCATAAGAATAGGTTCGAATTTAGAATAAAATCAAAAAGAGACTCACCTCTGTCGTTGTTGTTTGGGCAACCCCACTGGGACTGATGGGCGTTGGCGTCACAGCCTATTACCAATCCGTTCTTGAGCTTTTTGCATTCCTCTGCTAGTTCTCTGACCAGCGCATCTGGGGGGTTTTCCTTCTCAAAGGCCAAATAGGCCGATAGAACCCTTATAGAGCCACTCTGCAGCTCCAGGCTTACTGCGGTGTTGTCTCCGTTGCTGTAATTGCGAAGTAGAAATATACTAAGATGCCTTTTGGCTAATATGCAGGTTCGAATTTTACCTTCTCTGGGGTCAAGCATAAGCTTGTATTCCTTTGTTCCTAGTCCAGCAACCTTGCCTCCTACTACCCAAGGTTCCTGTACGAGGACTAGGTCGGCTCCGCCTTCTGTCAGGCGAAGCAGAAGTGCAGCAGACGCTGCTTTACTGTGGTGAAGGTTTATTTGTAGAAGTCTTAATGACATCTACAGCTTCAACCTCCACCACAGTGAAGTCGGCCTCCTCTGTGTCGCTGAGGTCTACGTCCTCGATTGCCGGTCCGAGCGCTCGCATCTCTCTGCTTAGCGACGAATCGGTAGAGTAGCCGTCCTCCGGCCCACCAGGTGCCTCCAACTCCTCAGGAAGCGCCTGCTCGGCTGGGTTGCCGGCAGAGCTGCTAGCGGCGTTGAAGTCGCCCTTATACACTTTGATGTGTATCGCTTTGAACCCGAAGTTCAGCACACCTCGAGCAGTCTCGATCGGAGCTACTGACTCCTTGTTCAGGACCAAAACCGCCTGGTTGACATCCCCTTCATGCTCCTCCACCTTGACGCCTTTTCAGTCCTTCGTGGGGAGGTGCGGGTTGCATTCTTGCAACATGAAGAGGATGTCCTCGGGCGCCTTGATCACTGCTGGAAGCCAGATCCTGGCTCGGGGTCTACTGGGGACATCGCACCAGTCAAGCGCAACGATGTTCGCCCCTTCGTAAACCTCGCCGAGCTTGCTTGTCGCCTCTTTGTACATATCAGCCGACCGCTGACTGTCGCATGCTGCCACCTTGACGCTGCCCTGGTACCAGCCCGCGTCCATGCAGCAGGGCGAGGTGCCTGGCTTCTCTCGTACCATGCGCAGGCAAATGAGGGAAAGGTGGGACTCCACTGCCTTCCACTTGTTTCTGGGGATCCTGCCCTCCGGATTTCCCCTGTCAATCAGGCCAAGTAATACACGATTCTTCGTGATTTCGGCGAAAGAGGCCGATGGCTGGATCTTAGATCTCTTCGCCGATGGCCCGGGTAGTTCGAGGGATCGTTGCCTTTTCTGCGTATGTATATTTAGCACCAGCGGGTGGCCCGAGCGCCTTGGCAGTGCCTACCGTTGCTTTCGGCGCAGATGCGCACGTAGCGAGGGCGTTTGCGGCTGGCTTTCTGCCACCCATCATCCCCAGTTTGGGATGCGGCCCTTTCTGGGCCGTGCTGGTATGGAAGGTGGAACCAGTGTTCGTCTTATCCATGGGTTTTTTAAGAGTACCCGTCTCTATGTTTTTTGTTTTTGTGTCTTCTGTTTTCTGTTCCATAATTTGGTCCCACGAGTTGCGGAGAAGGGGAAAAGTCCGCCCGGGCAGAGATCCGCGATGCCCGGGTAAAGCGATAGTTAGAACAGGGGGTCGCCATGTCCCTGAGCACACCGTTTGAGACTGGGCTAGTTTTGATCCGGGCCCCCAGCCAGGCTGACTCTTGGCACGGTCCGTAATACACCGTAGTCCGGCCCGGAGTGAGATGTTGTTTGGAAGGGGAGTTGGGTAGGTGTTGTGTTGGGAATGGGTTTGTGTAAAGCAACTATTTAGATGCGGCTGAAAAACTCGCATTGTCGGTATTGCTTCGTTGCAAAATACCCGCTGGCTGTCCGGGACTGTTTATTTACTGGGGTTTCCGTCCACGATACCGTGTTTGACTTATCCCACCAGCTTATTCACAGTTGACCTCGAGAGAGGTCGTCCGCTATCCGCAACCTGCGACCCGCTCGGTTGCCCCAGCTAGGCGACTTTGGAACCATCTCACAAGTTCCTCAGCCGAGTAACTTCTTCGCGATAGAAAGACGATAGTACACATTTTACAAAATCAAAATATGCATGTATCGCGTAGAAGTAACTTCTAAGTCACTTCCGGACGATAGAAAGACGATAGTACACATTTTACAAAAACAAAAAATGTCGTGATCGCGAAGAAGTAACTTCTGAGACACTTCTGAGCGATAGAAAGACGATAGTACACATTTTACAAAAACAAAATTAGTGGAAAAAAAACAAGCCATAAAAAATTTTTTTGGTCTTCCTTTTGACGCACACTATTATTTTTCGCCCGAGCGTCATTTCGTTGCGCGATTTGTCTGTGTACAGTGCGGCTTTGTATCAAATTTGTGCGTTTTAAAAATATAGCTTTGTTTTTTTCTAAATGTTTTTAATTTCTTAACATATTTAAATGTCTCCCTCAACAAAGGGTGCGAAATTACGTGCTTATCGTGAGGCGTACGATTATTTAAAGCTATTTACGGACAAGCTAGCTGTGGACATTATTTGGCGTGTAACTGCGGAGAAACCCAGCATCCAACGATTCTCAACATATTTCATTGTAAAAGGTAATGTTTTCCAGTTAATTTTTACTTTTGCTGAACAAAAAACTAATAAATTTCTTATGTCGACGGAGCTGGACCTAAATAACATTGTTCAGCAAAATTTCCTACATGCCAGGGATCGTGTATTCAAGCGGAAAATGCCTTTATAAAAAAAATAAATGCAAAATATTGAAAGTATAATAAAATATGTTTTCATTCAAGATTTTCCAATTGGGAAAGACTCTTCTAGGTATCTTCTACAAACATATGTAAAGTCACTTTTGAGTGACTTCCATATGTGACTACGGCGACACTTCCAGAAGTTACTTCGGCGATATCGCATTCGGATCGCGGAAGTGACTCCCGTCGGGAAGAAATGTACCACTTCGGCGGCCCTTCTCGGAGTCACTGTGTGTGAATCGCAGGGTCCGCAGTAGAAAAACAAGGAAGAACGCTATAGTCGAGTACCTCGACTATCAGATACCCGTTACTAAGCTAAATAGAGATTTGCAAGTAGCAAAGCGAGATTAAAATGCGCCACCTACCGGCGGTATACAGATTTAAGCGTTATGGGCGTTAGAGTGGGCGTGGCAAATTTTTTTTTGGACCAATCGATAGGTATTGACGAGACCAATACATTTCAGTTAAATTTTTTTATCTAGCATGAAAGTTGTGGGCGTCATAGGTTTTCGCGGTTTGTGGGCGTTAAAGTGGGCGTGGCAAACTTTTTTTGGGTCAATCGATAGGTATTGATAAGATTTCGGTTAAAATTTTCTATCTAGCATCAAAACTGTAGGAGCCACAGTTTTGGGCGGTTTGTGGGCGTTAGAGTGGGCGTGGCACTGTACTGAAACAAACTGCGCTGCGCAGGAAGCTCAGGAATCTGCGTGCCTAATCCCAGTATTGTAACTCTCATAGTTTCCGAGATCTCAGCGTTCATACGGACAGACGGACAGTCGGACAGACGGACATGGCTAGATCGACTCGGCTAGTGATCCTGATCAAGAATATATATACTTTATGGGGTCGGAAACGCTTCCTTCTGCCTGTTACATACTTTCCGACGAGTAATGGGTATAAAAAGTAAGTGTAAACTTAAAATTCAATTAAATAATTCTAGGTAATTTTAAGTTTTTCCCAATCAAGACCATAGAATATCAATACGACTACGCCTATCTTAATTTTTTAGAATAACCGACTCCTTATTACCTTAGTTCGAGTGTAAGCTGAGGAGTGGAGAAATTTTGAAGATACTAATAGACACCGGTTCAAATAACAACTACATTTTACCAAGATTTGTTAAAAGTGCAGAAGAGAATAAATCACCTTTAAACGTCATTTCCGTTGGCGGAAATATAAGAATTACTCACCATAAGACAGCCAACCTATTTTATGACCCTAACACAACAATAAAAATATTTTGTTGTATTACCTACACTTAAAACATTCGATGCCCTATTGGGAAACTATATTTTAAGGAAATTAAGAAATTAAATAATTAACACAAACACTAAAACTGTAATGCGCCACCTACCCGCTGTTTCAATATATATGTGGGCAGCAGACAGGATTAAGCGTTATGGGCGTTAGAGTGTGCGTGGCAAACTTTTCTTTAGGTCAATCGAAAGGAAATGATGAGAACAATACATTTCATTTTTATTTGTTATATTTTAACATTAAAACTGTAGGAGCCACAGTTTTAGGCGGTTTGTAAGCGTGGAGTACTGACGAGACAAACTTGAGCTGCGCAAGAAGCATAGGAATCTACATGCTAGATACTAACGTTCTAGCTTTTTGTAGTTTCCGAGATCTCCCCTGCAAGCATTTTCTATCGCGGAAGGCCCTATTAAGTGACTTATAGAATATGAAAACGATCGTCGGCGATATCGCATTCGGATCGCGGAAGTGACTCCCGTCGGGAAGAAATGTGCAACAGAAGTCACTTTGGACTTCGAGAAGTGTCACCGAAGTGGCACATTTCTTCCCGACGGAAGTCACGTCCGCGATCCGAACGAAATAGGTAGTGTCTTTCCGCATGCAAGTCTCCGAGTTGTATGAGGAAATTATGGAAGCGGACTTTCCGAAGGAGAAATGAACGCCGAATTAAGTGCTGTTGCTCTCAAATGCTGGAATTGTCGCAAGAATAGTCGATTCAAGTAATGTCGCATGAAGCGAAAGATATTTTGTTTCGGATGTTGCGCTCCGAATAGCTATCAGAGCACTGCTTTATAATCCGTTGTTTTTATTACTTAAATAAAATTACAAAATCAAGATAAAATCAAGAGCCTTGAAAAATCTTCCTCTCCTATTGAGGATCGCACTGTAACTGTATGGTCGCTCGATTGTCGGCGAGATGTCTTGATTGGTGTCAGATCCAACCGATGAATTTATGTAAATTAATCGACGTTTCAAAATGTACTGGGCGGTAACATAGATATGGGACTGTTAGATACTGGAGCTGCCATTAACGTAATTGGTGGTAGGATGGCAGAGCAAGTGATACGAAACAGAGTTCCTCTTAAAAGAGATGCAACAGTGGCTACTACGGCAGATGGCTGGAAACAAGAAGTAGTAGGAAAACGTAAGACGGCAGAGAAGTACAAGGACGCTACCAAGGACCTGGAGTTCCTTATTATTCCATTCTTAAACCAGGATTTGTACTTAGGTATTACGTTTTGGTCAACCTTCAATTTGCTGCCACCGTCAATGCAAGTATCAGTATTTGTTTAGGATTCACACATTCTGACTGAGGATCAGGAAGGTAGTCTTAGCGAGGTTATTGGGAAATTTCGTTCTTTTGCCACTTTTAGATAAAGAAAAACTACTCTAATTTCCAACGAAATCATCGTGGGTGAAGCGACGCCGATCAAGCAACATCATTTTCCGGTGTCATCTGCGGTCGAAAAACTTCTTTATACAGAAATCGATCGAATGCTGGAGATGAGAGTAATTGAAGAGTCCAGAGTGCGTGGTCTTCGCCAGAAGACCAGAACCAGTACAGAGGCCCGAAAAAGTACACTTATATAGCTACCAAAAAGGATGCTTATCCTTTGCCACAAATCGACGTAATTTTGTCACGACTTCCAAGAGCTATGTACATTTCCAGTCTCGACCTAAAAGATGCATATTGGCAGATCCCTTTAGAGCCGAAGTCTCGACGGTTTTCACAATACCGTAAAGTAAGTAAAGTACTAAAAACAGCTGGACTTACTCTTAATGTGGAGAAATGAAAATTCTGTATGCGATCGATGAAGTATCTTGGACATAAGAATTTTCATTTCTGAAGAAATTGAAATCCCTTCGCAGTTTTCTGGGTATGGTGGGGCGGTATCGCAAACTTATTCGTAATCTTGCGTCGAAGTCAAGAAAACAATTCGAAATGACCCCTGAAGGCAAAAAAGGGTTTCGTTTGCTAAAAGAAATGCTATTTTCTGCTCCAGTGCTACGCATCGCGGGTTTTATAAAGCCTTTTTAAGTGCAACGCGATACAAGTAGGTCAGAAGTTGGCGGGGCATTAGTGCAGGAGACAGACCAGGGTGACGAGAATCCAATTGCGTTTGTGTTTAAAAAGTTCAACAAAGCCCAAAGGCACCATTTAGTTACCAAACAGGAATGCCTTGTGGCCATTGCGAGTGTTACAGCGGACCCTTTAATAAAAGCTTCTAACAGCACTGCTTATAATCCGATGTTTTTTATTAGCTTAATGAAATTACAAAATCAAGATAAAATCGAGAGCTTTTAAAAGTTTTCCTCTCCTATTGAGGATCGCACTGCAACTGTCTAATCGTCGGTGTCGGGTCCAACCGATGAATTCATTTAAATTAATCGTCATTTCAAAATGTACTGGGGCGTGATTACATTTAATTAGAAGCAACGTCCAGTACAGCTATAATACTGTGTTGAGTCTTCATTGTTGCAGATCGAACTTGTCCATCTTTGGCTGTGCCGACCTCTGTAATTCGTCCTATGGGCCAAAGGTTCCTGGACAGATTTTCGTCCACTACGATTACGATGTCGCCAACTGTCGTTGGGAAACCATTTAGATCGCTTGGTGATTATTGGCATGTATTCCTTCACCCACCTCCTCCAAAATAGATCGACTAGTTCGTTGGCCTGGCGCCAACGTTGTCTTGGACTTGACTCCCTTGTTACTGGAGGCTTGAAGCCGTCTGAGGATCCAAGGAATAAATGGTTGGTAGTAAGTGCGTCATCGTCTTCTGCCTCCAAAAAAACGAAGGTCAGTGGGCGGAAGTTTATTACGTATTCTGCACTTATAAGAGTATTTTTGAGACTTTCGTCGTTGTAATTGGCGTTCGTACCATTTTAATCGATTGAATTAAACGTTCCCGTGTCCGCCCATGTGTGGTGCCGCAGGTGGACTGAAGCGCCATTTAATTTTGTCATATTTTACAAAACTCGTTTTACAAAAACTTTTCAAACTCAACATTTTTGAGCTCGTCTTTGACAATCTTTTCATCTTCTCATATGTGGCACGCTTTCCGTACGGATTTGTAAAAAACACTTATGAATCCGTTGGATTGAAAAGTCTCAAGTTCCGATTTGAAATTGTCTTGTTGCACTTTCTTGAAGAGTCCGTTTTTGGCCGACGTAAGTGGCTTGAGCGTTAGCATTTTAAGTATAACAAAAAAGTTGCCGTTGCGCGGAATTCCAATCAGAAAAGCACCTAACGTATAATGGTCCCACTACTAGGTTTTCCTTTCTGATTATCAAGGCCGTTTTTCGAATCTCATCATGGTCGACTTTGTTAGAACGGCATAAAGTGGACTGTTTTGGCCACTGGTCCTTTGACTGTTGAAGAAACTATGGGCAGTTAATCCATTCTTGTGAGTTTGGCTTACTGATAACCTTTGTCTGCTTCGTTAATCTTTGTTGGTACCCAATGCCACTGACTAGTGTTTGTGGTCTCCAGAATTTCTCCTACGCGGTGCATTACGAAAGTGTAAAATTTACGCGGGGGCATCGTCAGCCAGGATAGTACTGTCCTTGAATCGGTTTAATAAGTGTGTCGATCGACGCTTATGTTGCGAGTGCTCCGCACTTTGTAGGATAGACGTGCACCGATTACAGCAGTAAAATGTTCCATGCGGGGTATGGAAAGAGGTCAAAAGAAAGAGGTGCGATCAGTGAGACAGTGATATCATCCCCTTTTTTCCTATCCCAAAGTAACACACGGCGGCTTATCCGTACTCACTGGCGTCCACGAAAGTATGTAGTTCAATCAAATCTGCCATACGAAGTATGGGTACTTGAGTAATTGTAGCTTGGGGTAGCAAGTCTTTCCATTTCGTCTAAAAACTCATCTTAGGTAAGATGTCGTCCCAGCCTATGCCTGTTCGCCAAATTTCCTGAAGAAGCATTTTGAGGCCAATTGTGTAGCAGGATAATGAAT